TATCCATACAACTCCATCTGGTTCTTGTAAGTGTTAAGGTGATCTACGGGATCTTTTGTTCCATCAAAAGCCTCTATCTGGGGTACTCTAAAANGAGATAGAGAACATCAGGTCTTTAGATTGGACACCCAAGACAGCTATAAATGCAGTAATGGCAAATTTCTCATCTGGGACGTCCACTTTTAGCGATTTCGAGTTGAACCTCTAAACATAGGATCTAAGACTCTAGTGGGGTCCCTGTTTCACATTTAACAAGTGGTAACTCGGCTTTCTGTACGTTCGAGATCCTATAAAGTGAGACACAAAGGATATGGATAGCTCCTTAAAGCAGGATATCAAGGCTGGGGGAAGCCTATTGAACCATGCTAAGGTTGAGCCTTTCAACTTTATGGCAAAGGCTCTGCAGCGCACTGGATCCTGATATCCATACAACTCCATCTGGTTCTTGTAAGTGTTAAGGTGATTTACGGGATCTTTTGTTCCATCAAAAGCCTCTATCTGGGGTACTCTAAATTTTAGAGGGAAGAAAAAATGCAGCACGCCAGTGGTGAATGGAGATTTAGTCTATTGTACCAAGGCGTCCATCGTAACTGGAACCTTGCCTCTCACGACTTTTTTCATGTGGCTGAGCTCTTACTGGATACCCTGGAAGCGCTGCTCCCAGTATTGTTCTCTCCTTTCCTGTTGATAGGGGAAAAAATTGTTTCTCTCACCTTCTTCGTTCTGACTCTGCCCTTTGTCGTTGTGGCCATTCCTGGGGGGTACGCGAGGTTCTGGCCCCATGGTTTGGCTGTTTTTTCCTTCTTCGTAAACTTCTCTAAGGGGGTCGAGGTGTGATTGCTCCCTAGGTGGGAGATTGTTTTGGCCTTCTTGAGCCTGTCGTGCCTCCTGTGGGCATTGTAAGAGTNATTCCTGGGGGGTACGCGAGGTTCTGGCCCCATGGTTTGGCTGTTTTTTCCTTCTTCGTAAACTTCTCTAAGGGGGTCGAGGTGTGATTGCTCCCTAGGTGGGAGATTGTTTTGGCCTTCTTAAGCCTGTCGTGCCTCCTGTGGGCATTGTAAGAGTTTTAAAAGTTCTTCGTTTTGTTTCAGCAAGCATTGATTGACGAGGCGAAGGGCCTCCATCTCGTTATTCATGGGGAGACCCCCCACGGGTGGATTGGTCTCTCGGACATTCTCAGGTTGTCTGTTATTAGTAGCTTCTTGTTGATCTTGCATCCATGGTGAATTTGTCTGACTTCGGTTCATGTTTTGCATTANGGCGAAGGGCCTCCATCTCGTTATTCATGGGGAGACCCCCCACGGGTGGATTGGTCTCTCGGACATTTTCAGGTTGTCTGTTATTAGTAGCTTCTTGTTGATCTTGCATCCGTGGTGAATTTGTCTGACTTCGGTTCATGTTTTGCATTGATATCATCAGTCACTGAAAAATCAGTTTGTTTATAATAGGAACAGTCGTTCCCACAGACGGCGCCAAACTAATGGTGTATTTCAACGTGATGCAATTTTGTGACGACGAGTAAATGAAATAAACAATCTTCGAATTATTGGTGAGCTACTAGGCTCAAGGGAGTGATACTGAGAATTGTTGGGGAGTTAGAGAATTAACACAGTAGAAATATAGTGGTTCACCGGCTCAAGAGCTTGGTTAATTCACTCTTCAATGGAGATTCTTGCTCCGTCTTTCACTATTTACTATATCAAAAAGGGTTACAGAATGTACGATGTGATACTAAGGTTCTTACCCCTCTGTTAGGGGCGTTACATAGTATTTATAGGAGTATCCCTTAATCTATGGGATCCGATCCGTGATTCTTGTCATCTATCCGACGAATTCTCCTTAATCTTAGGAAGGTATCTTAGTTTGTTGAGGATTTTGTGTCTTGAGTGTTACTTCAAACTGTCTTTCGAGTTCTTCGTAGTATCCAGTTGTTTCTTCCCTGCTTCAGCTTATTATCTCATTTTGAGGGGAATTCTAACTCTGATTTTTTGAGCTCTGATCTTTAGACCTCAGCTTACCTGTCCTCAGTTCCTGAGCTTCAGCTCAAAAGTTATTCCGAGTATCATCGGTACTAAAGTCCAAAAGGAAAAGTTTCGCCAAAAATGTAAAACAAAATTCGTAATCTACTTTTGACCTGTTTGGATTGTAATTAGACTGTTGACATTCACTGATCATTGAGTCAGGCAATTGTCAATAGAAAACACTTTGGCCCAACTCAAATGGGCTTTTAGCGAATTACCCATGAGTCGTCTTAAGGGATCTTAAACGAGTCGTTATCGGTTTTTTTTTTTTTTTATTTGAAATCTTTAACTTGCACATCGACTTCTGTGAAATTAATAAATCAGTAGGGGTAAGAAAAGTATTTTTCCGANTTTTTTTTTTTTTTTGAAATCTTTAACTTACACATCGACTTCTGTGAAATTAATAAATCAGTAGGGGTAAGAAAAGTATTTTTCCGAAAGGCTAAGAAAGTTGAGATTATGAAGAAAAAATATCACTTTTTTTAATTGAAAAAAGGTATGAGAGATTTTTAGTTTTGAGAAATAAAAAATTAATGACCTTATTTATAAATTTCCTAAATTACATTTTCGATTTGAAAATCAAATTAAAGTTCCATTTTTTTAAGGAAAAATTGGCTGTGAGTAAACCTTTTAGGTCTTATTTGAATATAAATTTACAGGCTTAATTTGTAAGTAATTAAATCTTTTAAATGGTAAAATATTTACAAAACCGAAAGTGAACTATTTGCTTCTTGAAACCTGTTTCGAGACTTTCTCGGGTGGTAAAGCAAACACACTTACCCATGCTCGTGGATTTTCCCACGAAGGCATGATCCTATTACCCTACTTTCTCACATTTTCTCTTCATCTTCTCCTATCTTTTTACGCTACAAGAAAATTTTGCAACCATTTTTTTCGTCACAAAATACTTTTAAAAAAAACATTGGAAATTATTTTTTACGATGATTTTATTTTGTCGTGGCAAAAAACATTTTGCGACACANAAATACTTTTAAAAAAAACATTGGAAATTATTTTTTACGATGATTTTATTTTGTCGTGGCAAAAAACATTTTGCGACACAATATAAACTTAGTTAAAAATTAACAAATATATCGTTAAATATAAATTCTGACATCGTTTAAAAAAAATAAAATTAAGAGTACGTTTAATAATATTTTCGTTTTTATGTTTTTTTTTATATATAAAAAACATAATTAATTTTTATTTTTTTTGATTAAAATTAAAAATATAAAACAAGATAATCANAACTAAAACCACCACCAAAACCCATTACCCAAAACCATAGAAACCCGTGACCCAAAATCCACCATCAACCCCACTGACACAAATCACCCAAAACCACCGAAAGTCACCACCAACAGCCACCCAAAAACCACCACCCAACCCTATTGCAAAACTCACCACCCGACACCCCCGAAAACCCATTACCACCCATCACCAATAGCCACCGAAACCTACCACCAACAACCACCCAGAGAAAGAGAGGCAAGAGAGGGGCGAGAGATAGAGGCGGGACCGAAAATGGAAGGATTTTTATACTCAAGTAATAAAAGTCATTTTTCTGTTGTTAAAGAGAATTAAAGTCAACGTCTCGTTAAAATCCCCCACATGCGCGCACTAGTTTTGGTTATTGGCAGCTTTCAAACACATTTTTTTTTTGATGTTTTTATATTTTGTTTTCGTTTTAAAAAAGTAGTAGCAAAAAAAACTAAAATATTTACCAAACACATTTTTGTTTTATATTTTCCAAAAAGTGAAAACAAAAACAAAAAAAGATTAAAAAAAAAACTTCATATTACCAAACTCAATCTTAGTTATCAATCAATGTTATGTTTTCATAGATTAAAAATAGTTATAACTCTCAAGGATAATTTAAATGATAACAAAAACGAATTATAAACTCAAACGACTTGCGTTCGAATCATAACAACCCCTTGACACCAAACTACAAGGGATTTATGAATANCGTAGATTAAAAATAGTTATAACTCTCAAGGATAATTTAAATGATAACAAAAACGAATTATAAACTCAAACAGCTTGCGTTCGAATCATAACAACCCCTTGACACCAAACTACAAGGGATTTATGAATACCCTAACCCCGGCGTAAATAGTCTGTATTTAACTAGACTAAATACAAGACTAGAGAGGAGATTAATTTCATATTCCATATCCTGCTCCTTTGTTTGTTAAACATTCCTATTCTTAGCAAAGAGGTAGTAACATTTAGGCTAAGCAAGAATCTATAGTATTTTTCAGATATGCCGATCACTTGCATGCTACCTGTATGTGGTAGGGCCTGGTCAGCTGCCCAACCACCGCGTTTGCTCATCTCTTGTCAATGCTAGAGTGCAAGAAGCCTCTGAACTTGAGGGAGGGTCGTCTGTAACTACCTCTAAGTTCATGGAGTTCTTTATAATTACCCCTGCTATCTCTATTACTTACAGAAACCAACAAAGATTTCTCTCTTTGGACAATTGCNTGGCTCATCTCTTGTCAATGCTAGAGTGCAAGAAGCCTCTGAACTTGAGGGAGGGTCGTCTGTAACTACCTCTAAGTTTATGGAGTTCTTTATAATTACCCCTGCTATCTCTATTACTTACAGAAACCAACAAAGATTTCTCTCTTTGGACAATTGCTGGATAACACCAAATTTAAAGTCTATTAACATCCCCACATTAATAAAAAGAACAGCCCAATTCACAAGGCTATTACTCCTGCATGTGAAGAGATTGTTTCCACGACTCAAAACTCTTGACGTCCAAGTCACAATGGAGTAACCTTGTCCATAATCTTCACTGTCAATCTATAATAAATCTCACCCAGTTTTTGCCACGATTTACCTGTGCCTTAAGTGTCAAGGGAGGCTAAAAGTTACTACCCTGATTGGGTTTTGAATTCTGTGACAGTGAACTCTGATGGCTAAACTGAAAAGCATCACTGGATCAAAGCTTTTTATAAGTTTACCTTATGCCCAAAGAAAATAACCTCTGCATATATATCTATAGGATGAAACGATTTTCAAAATCTTCTATATGGATCTATATGGATACAAAATTAAAGAATGCATACGTTTGAATATTGGCAGGCACCTCCGTGGAGGAGCTTCTAACCAACAAAATCAAGGATTAGAATAGCAACAAAAATGTCACCTGACGTGAGCCATAACCGTTAAGGAGATGAGCTCTCATCATCAGAGGAGCTGCACTGTCGTCTTCCAGGAAATCCCCTAAAAACTGGCTGCAGAGTAGGATTTACTGGAACTGGAAATTTATGGGCGGAATTGACTGTGGTTCGCTCATTCATCGTTCCAACTTCCTTGCAGACCCGATCAAGAATTGTTAGGAAGTCTCTTACCACCATGAAGATTCTGAAAGGGTGAGCTTCTTCCTTGGCTGAGTTCCCATGGAAGTATTCGGTGATCTCCTTAACTAGAGAAAGAGCAACGCTCTCGTGGGCTTGAATCCTTATAATCTCCTCCTCAGCCATTTCCATAAACCTGTTCATTGACTCGGAAAATTTCATGCTGCTTTCCTCTAACCCCATTGCTTTATTTAATCGTGCAACCTCAGCAATGTTCCCAATTCCATTAGAAAGCTTCAAGACATCATAATTAAGCACTTCTGAATCCATGGCAGCAGCTTTCTTCACATTCACGAGCTCCATACAAAGACCAGAAACAACTTGTAGACCAAGCTTCCTACATTTAACATCGTCATTCACCGTGGATGTTGGATTTTGGTTGGGGGTAGCAAGACGTGCCCCTTCGCTTCTTGTTATTTCCTGAACAACAAAATGCAAGAGAGTGGTTTTCCCATCGACACCCTTGACATCAACAAGCTTGAGGAGTGTGTCCAGCTTGAAGGCATGAGCATCCCCACGATTTGTCCCAACATTCATTCGGTTACCAGTCTTTAGCACAGCTTCTAGAAGCTTTAAAAACATCCTACTGTTCCTCAGTTCTTCACATGCTGCCTGTAAAATCAAGAACTTTTGAGTGAACATCATCTGGAACAAATGATCTTGGAAGAAAAGTAACGCTGAAGCTTTATGGCACACAAAAGATAAGGAAAGAATCAAAAAGGCACTGTTTAAGCTGCATGCAGGAGTACAAAATAGTTTGGATCAGTATCCTTCAACGGATTATATATTTTTCCCATTTGTTGAACCTTTTTCAGGCATTTCTAATGAGATTTCCATTGGATGTAAACCAGTGCTATTGCACAGGAGCACTTCAAAAGTTTCAATTTTTTGTTGTACTCCGATAATATTTGTACATCACTAATCCAGTTACTTTTAGGTTGTCAAATTTGATACTCCACGTTGAAGCCAAGGAAAATGTGTTTAACCCTACCAAGGTAACATGGCTTACTTGGTGCTAAATCTTCCAGATAACAAAGTATTTTTCTTCATTTGTGCTCAATGCTTTTATCTTAGGACCACAACTAATGAAAACTTTTGTTTCCTATAGAAGCCAAAAACTACTACAGATTGCCCTATTTTAGTCCCCTTCTTCCTCCCATTAACCACAGAGGTAGCTTTCACTCAATCCNACTAATGAAAACTTTTGTTTCCTATAGAAGCCAAAAACTACTACAGATTGCTCTATTTTAGTCCCCTTCTTCCTCCCATTAACCACAGAGGTAGCTTTCACTCAATCCTAACTAGTACATGACTCTCCTTCAGCCCAATTACAGTATTCCCATGGCAATCAACCTCTTGAACAGTCTCTTCATGTGTAACTTTGTACTACATACAACTGAATTGTTGATTCGAGTGGTCTTAGACTGCACATGCAGAACAAAAAATCAACATTGAAGTGATAAATTACCTCCAAAGTTTCAAATGACTTTTTGAGGTACTCGACCTCGAACTCAAAGTTGGACATGTATAGCATTGCATCCACTCTTTTGAATGCAAAAGGTATATCAAGCACTGCCTTCAAAAACCTCTCAGCAGGACCAGGAGTGAATGGTGAATCCTCTTTGTACTCCTTTAGCTTGCGTTCTTCTTCTTTAGTTGGAGCCATCTTCAATAAACTCTCAAGAAAGTCAATTCCAAGTGCATCCACATTGCCTGTATTCAAGTGAAAAACATGTTATATGCATGCCCAAGCTACCGTGTATACACATGCAGTTCATTTTGTAATCCTAAGGCAAAGGCAGTACCGGAGAATGATCACACACGGGCAACATGAATTATAGCCGTGAGAGATTAACACGGACATTAGTGTGTGGATTCCTGATGGAGCATATGCATATGGAGAATAACTTACAAATGAGGCATTCTGAGCCCTGTTGAAAAAAAAAAGGCATGCTTAGCCCACCTGCATGCCAAGAAGCAGCAGCCCCAGGCATAATAAACTTGTTAGAGTCCAAAATTTTGTGAGAAGAAAGGTAGTATTGATTTATTTAGAATAGCATTTGTGATTTTACTATTAATTCTGCTTGCCTTTCCCCTGATATACTATTTCCTAAAAACCAACATGCAACCAGAAGTAAGCCAAATATCCATGGGACAGGCTTCCTAGAGTTCAAAATCTAGGTCAAAAAATAAAGAAAGCAATGGTAATATAGCAAGACTCAGAGTTATTGGTGGAAGGTATGAAACCACAAGAATATTGCAGGAAATAAAGATCAAGAATTTTGAAGGAAAAAAAAAAAGTTACTCAAATATAGATTGTTGAAGGACACATTAATGATGCAATACAAATGATCTGATGGTGAGGTTAACCTCAAACAATCTTTGCACAATAAGAGAAACAGCAACATACATGTTGATTTTGTGAAATTATGGTCATTTTTGGCAAAAGTAATTTCGGAAGCATCATTTAAATTCAAAGTGCACCATAAATTGAACAATAGCATAACAAAGAACATAACGAAATCCACCAAAATAACCATGGAAAATATAAACAACTCAACCACTCCACTTTGTAAAATATTCTGTTTTTGCTGCCTTCTTCAAAATGAAATTCAGCTTCCACATTCAACTCTACTTTTAAATTCAGTCAGCAATTGAAATGGCAAAAAATCATTTTCTAGAGATCAAAACAGTATTACATCCTGTTGATCATTTCATGTCCAGAAGCATGGAGAAGGTTGAGCACATCTGACCCACGAGCCCCAGAGGGATGAAAATCTCATGCACTAGACTGCCCGATTTAGGCATGGAGAAGGTTGCTTTCAATATAATAGAAACAAATATCCTTCTACATCAGCGGGATGTTTTCAAGTGAGGTGAGCAACCATTAACATCAAAACAACACGTTATTATCATAAAAATCATGAAACTAACAACAAAAAACTAGCATCGTCTTTCTGTGACAAGCAAAACTCGTATTGATTTTGACAATGTGAAAACTAAAACCATATGCAACTCAGCAGCAACTTGACCCACAATTAGGACGGCCATAAAAATCCATTAAGAAATGAACATTACCGTCCAAAAGGGCTTCACAAACTTCCTCTATAGTCACATTCAGTGCCCTTAGCCGAATTGCAATGTTCTGTGATTTCTTGGGATCAAGAACCCTATTCTCTTGGCTTGCAGGCGGAGAAGGAAGTACTTGGCGTCGTGTTGTTTCCTTAGGATTTGAAATTGGAGTATTTACAATAAACAAGGTTTCAATCATCTCCTCATTCAACCTGAAACCAACCCAATTATCGACACTTAATAAGAAAAAGAACGAGAAACATAGTTTGGTCAACATAGGAACACAATCACTGTATGATAACCTTTACAAGGTTTACAGACAGTTGAGTATCGTACTTAAATGAGCTCGATTTTAGCTGATCCCACACCATTTCACGATCCGAACTTGCTCTTACTTTATCCCAATGCAATGGCTTCAATTTTGGTTTCGTAGCCTCCTCCGAATTCCCAACAATCACTTTTTTCATAACATCTTCTGAATTGAGAGGCAATTCCATCGGAGATATCAATGTTGGACTTTGAATAGCTATAGGTTTCAAAGGGGTTACCAGAACTGGTGGCTTAGATATTTGCTCAGGAACAAGTGGGGTAGGAGTTGTTGGACTTTCCCAGTGCCTAAATGGCGGCAGTGGTGGTGGCGGCGGAATCGAAAGAGCCGGACTAGGTGGTGCTGGAACAGGAACCCGAACATTCTGCTCAATAGAACTCACTCTCGCTGGAGAATGTGAATTTGGCTGCGAAGAAGAATTTGATATTCTGAGAGGTGATTCTTGGCTTTTTCTTAAATCTCCAAGTGGAGAATGTGAATGTTTATTTGAAACATCTGATAATCTTGGTGATGAATACTGGCTTTTCCCTAAATCTCTCAGCGGAGATGACGAAGAAGACGGCGATTGGGACGCAGATTCCTTCCTATTAACTAATAAGCCCACGAAAGGCGATACGGGTGGTGGAGGAGCAGTCCGAACTGGGGCTAATTCCGGCGACTTGGGCCTCGAACTTTTCGGACTCAAACTCACCGGTGGAGAGATGCTTAAGGACACTGACCTTACCGGCGAACCGAAGCTTGATGACGAATATAAAGAAGAGCTAGACCCATCACTCCTTGAAAAATTCTCCACCACCACAGCCGCAAACACTCTCCTAGAGGCCGATCCAGTGCCGATAGAACTCTCACGACCCGTCAAAGACCCTTTGGGAGAGTAAAACTCATCGTCTTCCTCTTCACCCACTCGAGCATTGCCGTAATTCCGCCTAAAACTACGCCCACTTAGCGGCGGCAATGGTCGGAGCTCCGGTGAGTCCAATTTCCTAGGATTTCCATGGTCTCCTCCACCACTACTACGACCATTCCGAGGACCATGTCCTTCGACGCCACTCTGAGAATTGACCAGAGTACCAAGATAGAGAAACTCTGAGCTGTTTTGTGAAGGTCTTTGCAACTTTGGAACCCCATTGGCAGTTCTAACATTATCATTGCTGAAACGACCGCCGCTATTAGATGTAGAAGTCTTGTCATCGGTGGAAGATCGGAGTCTTCGCTTCCGAATGTGTAGGTAAACGACAATGGCGATGACGACTACAGCAGCAACAACGACGGTGACGGCTGTGGCGATGAGCTTAGAGGAAATGTGTTTGGATTTCTGGGATTGGGGCAGGTTGAGAGAGGAGACGTTAGCAGGGAAAGAGGCAGGGGGGGGTGGAGATGGCGGTGGTGGTGGAGAGGGGTAGGTTGGGAAAAAGGGTTGTTGATCAGGGGTAGAACTGGAAAATGGGATTTCGGGTGCTGGGGGTGAGGGATATGGGGGGTGGGATGGGGGGTGGGAGTCTAATGGGAAAAAGGGTTGGTGCAGACTACGGCGGTTGTGGGTGGCAATGGCGGTGGAGAACAAGAGGAAGAGGAGGAGGAAGATTGGTGGCATTGTGGTGGTTTAGAAAGAGGAAGAGGTTGTGGTTGAAATGTTGCTGCGGTGGATGGCTTATGGATGCTGCTTTCAGGCACACAGAGTGGCAGAGAAGAGAGACGGAGAGTGGGGATTATGATAATCTGAGAGTGGATTGACCAGTGTTGATTCCAGCTAGTAAGATTCTGCTGCTGGTAATGGCCGATTCTCCCACTGAAAAGCTCAACAGTGATAAATAAAATTCTCTCCTCTAAAGTAAAATTTTCGTTGAGATAAAAATAAAAATAAAATAAGTAAAATTTTGGCTGGTTGTCATTGTGATTCGAGCGTACTCCCTCCGGTTTGAATATAAGTTATCGAAATTGGAGCAAATTTAAAATAAAGGATTAATTATACTATAGGTTTTCAAAATATAGAGTTTATTTTATTTTGATCTCTAATATTTAATTATATTATTTTGATCTTTAAAATATTGAATATGATTTTATACGGTCCATCAAGCAGACAGTGTCCACATTGCTAAAGATTTTTTTTCATAAATTTGTCACATAATATTTAAATATGGATAAAAAAAATAATTTGAATAACTTTTAATCAATTTTTACTCAAATTTGATTAAATACCTACCTAAATTACATAATTTTGATCATAAAATTATCTAAATTTTGGTCAAAAACTACTCATATTATATATTTTTTTGTCAAGAGTTACCCAAATTTTGTTTAAAAATTATCAAAATTATTTTTTGTCCATATTTATCTATTACGTGACAAGTTTATAATAAAAATTTATTAGCAATCTACATGTTGTCTATTTAAAGGACCATATAAAAACACTAGTTATTGTCCGTCCCTGAAGGCACAGAGTAATAAAAATTGGTAAACAATAATGGCGAGGGTGGTGGTAGTAGTGGTGATGACGACGATGATGGTGGTAGTGGTGGTGGCGACGACGGCAATGATTGTGGTGATGACGTTGGTGATGGCGGCGGTGGTGGTGGCGATGGTGATGGTAGAGGTAGTGATAGGACGATTTCAAATATTATTTTTTTAAAAATCGTTCCAAACACACTCTTAGAGGTCTATTTTTCCTATTAATTTTAGGGTGTTAATATTAGTCATTAAATTAACTTAAAAGTAAAATTTAAAACAATTTCAACCGTGAATAGCAAAAGTCATTTTATTTATCTTTTGAGATTTGAATTGTAAACTATTTTATTATATAGATATACAATATTTAAGGGATTAAAATGATGTAATTGAAACATTTGAGATCAAAATGAGACAAACTTCATATTTTAGGGATCTCTAGTACAATTAACCCTAAAATATATCTTATGAGAGTGATTGATCCTTAAAAATATTGGAAGTGAGCTCGGATACAGGGTATTGTAAATTGAGAGGATTTAAAACACACACAATGAAGAATAAAAGTGGGTATAAGAAGTATTTAACCCAAGAATTTTAATAACCTAAAGGTCATAGTCATACTCAACTCAACCACTGAAAGCCTCCCCTAAGTATTCCACTAAACCACCTCTGAAGGTTAAGTACAGTGTTTTGGGACTATCCAAGAGGCTTCAAAAAANAAAAAATTATTAGCAATCTAGACGTTGTCTATTTAAAGGACCATATAAAAACACTAGTTATTGTCCGTCCCTGAAGGTACAGAGTAATAAAAATTGGTAAACAATAATAGCGAGGGTGGTGGTAGTAGTGGCGATGACGACGATGATGGTGGTAGTGGTGGTGGCGACGACGACAATGATTGTGGTGATGACGTTGGTGATGGCGGCGGTGGTGGTGGCGATGGTGATGGTAGAGGTAGTGATAGGACGATTTCAAATATTATTTTTTTAAAAATCGTTCCAAACACACTCTTAGAGGTCTATTTTTCCTATTAATTTTAGGGTGTTAATATTAGTCATTAAATTAACTTAAAAGTAAAATTTAAAACAATTTCAACCGTGAATAGCAAAAGTCATTTTATTTATCTTTTGAGATTTGAATTGTAAACTACTTTATTATATAGATATACAATATTTAAGGGATTAAAATGATGTAATTGAAACATTTGAGATCAAAATGAGACAAACTTTATATTTTAGGGATCTCTAATACAATTAACCCTAAAATATATCTTATGAGAGTGATTGATCCTTAAAAAATATTGGAAGTGAGCTCGGATACAGGGTATTGTAAATTGAGAGGATTTAAAACACACACAATGAAGAATAAAAGTGGGTATAAGAAGTATTTAACCCAAGAATTTTAATAACCTAAAGGTCATAGTCATACTCAACTCAACCACTGAAAGCCTCCCCTAAGTATTCCACTAAACCACCTCTGAAGGTTAAGTACAGTGTTTTGGGACTATCCAAGAGGCTTCAAAAAAATGTTGCTAAATTGTTTTACATTTTATTTTTGAAACATTTTTGGCTTTGGAACTAAACATAAAAATGTGCATTTTTAATAATGGAATCCTTGGGGGAGGCTATCCAAGTTTCAATATTTAATAGAACTTACAATCAATTCAATAATTATAATTAATTTGATTGATAAATTAAGAGTGTGTTTGAGATGACTTATCGAATTCAAAAGTACTGCTTGAATAATTACTTTTTGAAAAACATTTTATTAAAAAATACTTTTTCCCATAAGTATCGATTGGATGCGCATTAAAAAAAATACTTAAATAAAAATGATTTTACAAAAATTGTGTTTGGATGGTCAATTAAAAAAGTATTTATTTGTATCACAATTACAAATATGTCTTTCATAATCAAATATATATATGTGTGTGTGTATGTGTGTGTGTGTGTGTGTGTTTGCATGTATTTTATTAAAAATGTCCATGGTTATCTCATGATACATTTTTAGTGGTAATTTATCAAATATTTACATAAATTCACAAAAATGAAAAGGTAATCATGAGATACTAGTGACCATACCCCAGTACTTTCACACTATTCTCCGGTGCTTTACAACACACAAAAACTAACAACCCCAAGCATAAGAAAAAATCCATAGCACTGTAAGTCATTTTATTAAATAATTTGTGGGCATTCTATCAAACTATCCAGTTTTACTAAAAATTAAATGTGAGAAAGAGCAATGAATTATGGAAGTAAAATTAACAAACGACTATAGTCTAACAGCTATTATTAATAAAGGAATTTTACTAATAAGTTTAGAATAACAAATTATTCATGATCAACATATAAAATTCAGATCAGATTGACAATTAAACAAGCTTGTATAGTTGAACATGCAAGCGAGAGAAAATAGTGATGTACTGACTTGAATTTTGGAGCACTCAAGACGTTTTTGCATGTCTTCAAGCCGAACAACATCTTGATATCTGCATTTCTAGATTTGAAGATATCGGTGAAGACAATGAGTCACAAAAGAGATGCAGTGCTTACAACATCAAATATTGCAATCAATACAAAATATTTTATTTTCATTCTTTTGAAGATCAATGTGATGAGCACAAGCATCAAAGAACTTGTTGTACAGTAANATTTATTAGCAATCTACATGTTGTCTATTTAAAGGACCATATAAAAACACTAGTTATTGTCCGTCCCTGAAGGCACAGAGTAATAAAAATTGGTAAACAATAATGGCGAGGGTGGTGGTAGTAGTGGTGATGACGACGATGATGGTGGTAGTGGTGGTGGCGACGACGGCAATGATTGTGGTGATGACGTTGGTGATGGCGGCGGTGGTGGTGGCGATGGTGATGGTAGAGGTAGTGATAGGACGATTTCAAATATTATTTTTTTAAAAATCGTTCCAAACACACTCTTAGAGGTCTATTTTTCCTATTAATTTTAGGGTGTTAATATTAGTCATTAAATTAACTTAAAAGTAAAATTTAAAACAATTTCAACCGTGAATAGCAAAAGTCATTTTATTTATCTTTTGAGATTTGAATTGTAAACTATTTTATTATATAGATATACAATATTTAAGGGATTAAAATGATGTAATTGAAACATTTGAGATCAAAATGAGACAAACTTCATATTTTAGGGATCTCTAGTACAATTAACCCTAAAATATATCTTATGAGAGTGATTGATCCTTAAAAATATTGGAAGTGAGCTCGGATACAGGGTATTGTAAATTGAGAGGATTTAAAACACACACAATGAAGAATAAAAGTGGGTATAAGAAGTATTTAACCCAAGAATTTTAATAACCTAAAGGTCATAGTCATACTCAACTCAACCACTGAAAGCCTCCCCTAAGTATTCCACTAAACCACCTCTGAAGGTTAAGTACAGTGTTTTGGGACTATCCAAGAGGCTTCAAAAAAATGTTGCTAAATTGTTTTACATTTTATTTTTGAAACATTTTTGGCTTTGGAACTAAACATAAAAATGTGCATTTTTAATAATGGAATCCTTGGGGGAGGCTATCCAAGTTTCAATATTTAATAGAACTTACAATCAATTCAATAATTATAATTAATTTGATTGATAAATTAAGAGTGTGTTTGAGATGACTTATCGAATTCAAAAGTACTGCTTGAATAATTACTTTTTGAAAAACATTTTATTAAAAAATACTTTTTCCCATAAGTATCGATTGGATGCGCATTAAAAAAAATACTTAAATAAAAATGATTTTACAAAAATTGTGTTTGGATGGTCAATTAAAAAAGTATTTATTTGTATCACAATTACAAATATGTCTTTCATAATCAAATATATATATGTGTGTGTGTATGTGTGTGTGTGTGTGTGTGTTTGCATGTATTTTATTAAAAATGTCCATGGTTATCTCATGATACATTTTTAGTGGTAATTTATCAAATATTTACATAAATTCACAAAAATGAAAAGGTAATCATGAGATACTAGTGACCATACCCCAGTACTTTCACACTATTCTCCGGTGCTTTACAACACACAAAAACTAACAACCCCAAGCATAAGAAAAAATCCATAGCACTGTAAGTCATTTTATTAAATAATTTGTGGGCATTCTATCAAACTATCCAGTTTTACT